ATGTGTAACATTTTTTTTATATTGACGCTCAATTGTTTTAAAGTAGGGGGTGCTATCTTTCCAGACTTTACGGTATTTATTTTTGTTCAAAAGTGAGCCCCTTAAAGTCTCATTTCTGCATGGTCTTGCTTAGTATCATCATTACTTGGGTAATGCAATTTATTTATTAATCCTTTGTAAAAAGGAATATAATAACACATAATAACCATCATGAACATTAATATGATATTAAGGACAAAGGCATCCATTCGCATTCAACCAGGAGAAAAAATGCATAATGATTTATATACATATTAAATATTAAAAACCATCAGGGCAATCATTACCTATTTTTTTGGTTGCCCTAAAATTTATTTTATCTCTTCATTAATATTAGTATCTTTTTCACCTTCTCATTTTTTTATATGAATATAAATATCTTAGTGATTGACAGTATTAGTGGTAGCAGTATAATTTTTATTAAATAAAAAAATGATATACACACATTTTATTAATTATTAATAGTGGTATTAACCAAAAAAAGTATATGTGAAATTGATAATAGTAGTAGAAAACGAAATACATATATATTAATTATTAAAAAAAAAAAAGAACATATATACATATATATTTTCAAATTAGAAGAATAATAAAAAAAAAAATAACTAATAAACTAATAAACGTGTAAATGTAAGTGTATACATACCATGCTTAAAGATTTCAATGTGATTAATATAAAATTTTTATCAAGATAATTACTTTATCTATAATAATAATATAATGTGATCAATCTATTTAATTTGATTTTGATTTTTAATAAATAGTTTGCCAAAAGGGGAAAATTACAATTTATAAATACCATATATATATATATAATAACCATCAAATTACATTATAGAATAAATACTAATTATTAAACTAATACATACGTCAACCAATTAATAATTATTAAACTATACGTACAACAATCAATTAATAATTATTAGTATGAAAAATAATATAAAGAACAAAGGATAGTTTTCTTTTAATAATTTTATTTATTTACCTGCAAGTAAAGCTTTTTCAGCAAAATATTTCACATCGGCATCAGGATCTTCTCTTAACCTATTCAATGCTGGTTTTACTTGTGTTTCCAATAATAAGCCTGTTTCAGGGGTTTGTTTAAGTACTGGTATTAATACTTCGTAAGATTTGGCTACATTAAATCTAATATTAGGAATTGGATCTGATACAAGATTATTCACCGTTGGAAGAATATAATCTCTGATAACTTCTGGCGTAACTGCAGGTGCAATTGTCTAAATAAAAAAGATTGGTTGGTTAGTTAATTGTGCAAGGTTATTTTTCCCACAAAAAAAAAGGTTTATATATTCACCGTAATAGCAAAAATAGTAGTCATTCTGTATAAATAATTTGAATTATTTCCAAATGATAATACTTCAGGTATGATTGTACTTTTTGCCCATTCAACACCAAAAACTTCTGTCAATTTTTTTAAATTTATAGTTGCTGCCTCACGTATAGAATATACACTATCACCTAACCATGACATACAAAGGGCTCCCAATTTATCATTAAAAAAATTAACACCTAATTGACTGGCAAGTAATGGAATATAGTCAATAATGGCAAGACGAACGCGCCATTGTTTATCCTCTGCCAATCCTACAATTGCTGGAAGAAGATTCTGTGATAAAAGCTCTACACCAATAACTTGTTTTGTTTTTTTGATAAATATATATATAATTGTTATGATAATGTTGATAAACAATATGATGGCAATAATAATAATGATGATTATGGTGGTAATATAGTATGTTAATTAATTTACCTTCATTAACTTGCTCCAATTTAGATATAATATTAAGCCTAACCTCAGGAAATTCATCTTTAAGAAGTTGCAAAAAGAGAGGTAATAAATGGTCTGTTGTACTAATATTACGTAAAAAAATTATGAATAATTTAAAAAAAAAATTTTTTTATTTTGAAATTTATATCACGAATACATACGCTTCCTTTCCTAATATTGGAGCCAACCCACTTATTTGTGTTGCTAAACTTGCACGCACATGTTGTGAAGTGTCAGTGACTAAATCTTTTACACATGGTAAAATACTTGATAAAATTATTTGTTTATCAACAAATTGTGCAAATCCTATGTAGTAAATAGTATGACAATAATTATTATTAATTATTTATTTGTAATGTTCAAAAAAATTTTTTCACTTTCATATTCATTTGTTGTTTCATTACCTGGAACTTGACCAGAAGCTGCTGTTCTTACTTCAGCCTCATTATCTTTTAATAAGCGAACAAATGCCATTACCAAATCATCACGCGTTATTTCTTCACCGACGGCTTTTGCTATCTAAAAAAAAAAAAATTTCAAAATTATAAAAAATTCTATTTGACAATATCATTAGTGCATCATATAGAAATTAATGTGTGTGTGCACGTGCGCGCACGCACATACGTGCAATAACAAACCTTAACAAAATTTTCGGCAATCATATATCTGACTCTCCAACTTTTGTCTGATGACATATTTCTTAAAGTTTGCAAAAGGTACAGTTTACTTTCTTCTATGACAAGCAATTCAGAAATTTCTACCAAATCTTCAACCGTTAACAAACGTACAGAATCTTGTTCATCTTGTGCAAGTTTGTTGAAAATTGGTATAATGTCAGAGATAACTTGTTCTTTTGGTAACTCTTTTGCAAATTTCTACTCAAAGTTTTTCGAAAATATTATTATTATTTATATGATATTTTCTAAAAAAAAAAGACTTGTTGTTTTTGTAAACTTACTCCTAAATTAGTAGCTGCAGCTCTTCTAACCATTGGGGTTTCATCTATAGTTAATTGTTTAAACATGTTTCGAAATTCTTCCTGAGAACTAGCGGTAGCATTCTTGTAGGCACCGGCATATAAACCACAGGCACTTGTACGACTAGTAAACCAATCACCACCACTTAAACGTTTAATAAGTGGTATATAAAATTGTTCAACTTGTTGTTGAGAAAGAACGACTGCAATTTTGTTCAATGATTCAACAGCCTATAAAATACAATATGGCGTACGAAAAATAAACAAAATTTTTTTAAAAACAAAAAAAGACAAATTCTTTATGAATCAAGATTATATAAATGATTGACTTTTTTTCATAAAATTACCTTCTCTCTAACAAGTGTTTCTTCGACTGCAGCTAAATTTTCCAAAGGTCCAAGTATAAGATGTGCATGATCTTTACCACCAACAAAATCTACAAATTTTCCAAGTTCTTCGGCCAACGCAAGTAACACTTCATCTTCATCATCAATTGATTCTGAAATTATTTTAAAAAAGAATTATTATTATATGTGTAAACGATTACTTGATTGCTTTAGAATATTTCTTTCTATGCTAAATATATTTGATAGTATGATTGATATCAAACATATTTTGATCTACACAAAATTCTTATCACTAATTCAATTTGATTGATTATTCGATTCATTTTTATTTTTATTTTTCAAATAAGTTCTCTGATAATTTAAACCCATTTATCATATATAAAGTGAAATATCATTTGACGTCATTTGATACTCGGCATTTAGATGTACATCTACTTTATTATTCGAATGCGAATGAGTTTGTGATATTATCCCTATTCTCTCAATAACTCACCATCAAGAAATGGTATAAGCTCCTCTCTGGTTCTTTGATCCCCTAGGGCTAAAGCGATTGTGGAAAGGCGTTTAATAGCATTCAACCTAATATTAACATCGTCAGCTCTTAGTTCGTCAAGTAATACAGCAATAGGATATAGACTATCGTCGTTCGAAACTTCGTTATTCATTATTATTATTATATTATTTATAAAAAACTATCGTATATCAAAATTCCTTTCTTTTAATTAAAATTTTTTATATAAAAAAAAGGTTATGGAGATGATTTTCGTATGAATTTGACTTTAATAAATGCTATCCAGGAATTACGAACAAAATTGGTTAATTTTGGCCAAGAATTATATTTATTAAATATTTTTGAATTTCTTACTAATTAACGAAACAAAAAATGTCACTCAACACTGTTTTAAATAAAGAAAATATTAGTTTAGAAGAAACGATTAATTGTAATTTCAAATTAAAGGAGGAAAATGAAGAACTCAAATCTGAAATTATCAAATTACAAGAAAAAATTAAATTGTTAGAGTCAAAGCTCAACGACAAAGTATCATCACCAGTATCAAAGAATGCAAATGAAAATGAAATTTGCGTTGAATCAAATATTGAATTAAATGGGAACAAGAAATCATTGACTTTGGAGGAATATTTGCGTTATGGACGGCAACTTATTTTACCCGGTTTTGGTCTTTCTGGTAACTTTCAATAATATTGTTCATAATATATAATGTCCAATAATAATAATGCTAATAAATATAATTGATGGAAAAAAGGTCAAATCAAGCTTAAAAATGCATCAATTTTAGTAGTTGGTGCAGGTGGTTTAGGAGCACCAGCTGCGATATATTTAGCATCTGCTGGAGTTGGTAAAGTAGTATTACTCATTTAGTTGAATCCAATTAGTTAATCGATGCTTTTCCAATTGATTGATTGATTGATTGATTGATTGATTGATTAAATGATTGGATTTAGGCAGATTGGGTATAATAGATTATGATAGTGTTGAATCATCAAATTTACAGCGTCAAATCATTCATAATGAATCAAGGACAGGAATTTCTAAAGCTCAATCAGCAAAGATGACTATTCAAAAGTATTTTTATTAAAAAAAAATTAACTGATTTTAATTTAGTGACATTAATAGTAAAATTAAAATTAAAATCAAATATCGATTTATCGATTGATTGATTGATTGTAGAGAAAGGAAAAGAAATCAATAATATGTTTTTTTGGAATATTTTGTAGGTTGAATTCACTTTGTGAGTGTATAGCGTATGATTTACTGTTGGATAATACTAATGCGCTTGAGATAATTAAAAGGTAAGATTGATTCTTTTTCAATTCATGATCTAATGATTACTTTATTAAAAAAAAAGAATATTGTTAAATAATAGCTATGATATTGTAATTGATGCAACTGACAATGTCGCTACGAGATATCTCCTTAATGATGCGTGTGTGATATTGGGTAAACCTCTTGTGTCAGGTAGTGCTTTACGTATGGAGGGTCAATTAACAGTCTACAATCATAAAGATGGACCATGTTATCGATGTATGTTTCCTAAACCTCCACCACCCGAGAGCGTACTAAATTGTGCTGATGGAGGTGTATTAGGCGTAGGTTGTGTATATACATAAGTTGCAAATAATAAAAGATTTTCACTACAAATAGTTGTTGTTTATTATAATGATAATATTATTATTAATAGTTACTGGGGTTATCGGGTGTTTACAAGCATTATTAGCAATCAAAATAGCAATCAATATGGAAGGTTGGTTTAATTTCAAGATTTTATCAACATTAATGACAGTGATCTTACTATTATTACAATAATAACAACAACATGGTTGGATTTTTATTTGGATGAATAGAGGATGAAAAGCCTCATAATCTTTTATTATTCTCGGCTGCAGACTATCCACTTTTCCGATCCATGAAGTTACGATCTAAAAAGCCCAATTGTTCAGTTTGTGGTGAAAATCCAACTATAACGCAATTACAAAACTACGTACAATTTTGTGGTACTGGTGCCTTAGACAAGGTAATCAATCATTTGGTGCGATTTTTTTAATTATTTAATCAAATTCAAACGTTTTATACTGTTGTTAGTCGCCGGATGTGAAATTGTTGAATCATGAAGAGAGAATCAACGTCAAAGTAGGGGCTTGTTTAATTTTGAAAATGATATTTATGATATGATTAATGAAGAAATCTTTATTAATAATTCCAATTATATTAATAATATAAGACTTATAATGATATACGTCTTCAATGTATTACACATGTTCTTATCGACGTTCGTGAAAATGTTCAATTTGATATCTGTCATTTACCAGGTTCAATCAGTATGTACATACATATAAATGACACTATTATTATTATTATTATTTATATAATATATATAATAATATATATATATATATATAATAACAATAACATCAAAATAGATATTCCGCTCCAAAACCTTTCAACTAGATTGGATGAAATTGAAAAATCATTACCATCTCCAATAACACCAGGTAAATTTTCAAGCACAAATTTACAAGCATACACAAACATATATTAAAATGCTTCCCTAAAAAAAAAAGTTTATGTAGTTTGTCGACATGGAAATGATTCTCAGCATGCAGTTCAACTATTAAAAAAAATAACTAAAGGGGAAGTTAAAGACATTATTGGTGGATTGTATAGATGGGCAAAAGAAGTCGATAATCAATTTCCTATTTATTAATAGAAATTTATCATCTATTTAGTGTATTTACTTAGTTTTTCCCCAGTAGAAATTTACATTCTGGTATTTGTTTGTTTTATCTTTTTTATATCATCCAAAAGGAAATAAAACAAAAAAAGGTTTGTAACACCAATTTTAAAATGAAATTGATATAATTGGTAAAAAAAAAATATAGATAATATCTTGCTCTTTAAAACAAAGTAAAAATGTCACAAGATCCAATGAGATATACTAATACCAACGGTAATAATAATAATAGAGGTGGTCCCGCGCCCGTGCTCAATAATAATAATAATAATAATAATAATAATAATAATAATAATAATAATAATAATAATAATCATTCATCTTCCGCTACTAATGCTAGTGCTCCTCCACTTCCTACTAGAAATAGAAAGGGTGGGTGTTTATACATTTAATTTCAATTTGATGGATTTTTAATTCAAAAAAATCATTACTAAAAAGGCATAATGTATACATATAGGAGCTGTTAGGAGTAGTCAATATGGACAATCAATAGAAGATATTGATATTGAAAGAACTCATCAAATACATCCATCGACAACACCAATGAACGAATTGCAAGCACTGGCAAAAAACTATCAAGTTATAGTGACTACATATAAAAAAAAAAATGCGACATTAGAACATGAGAAAAGTGAATTGACTAAAAAAAAAAAAGTTGCATCCGGACTAAAAGCCAAACTGGAAAAGAAAGCCGAAGATTTGGTACAACGACTTGAACAAGAAAAACGACAATTGATTAAAAAAAGAAATGATACAGATCTTGAGATTCAAGAATTAAAAAAAAATCTAAGAATTATTAGCGAAGCGGCGTCAAAGTATCAGTCGGAACTTGGTAATGCCACAAACGTTAGATGGGATGACGACGATATCAATAATTCTGTTCAGTTGGCTAAATGGATTACTGGGATTCAAAATACACTCAACGACTTTGCTAATATTAAAGGCAAGGATGTGGAGATTAACGAAGAGATGGAGAAGAACGCGAATTTGCTTTTGGCAGATTATAAATGTAGAACTCGATTAGGAGGAAATGTCAAGACTGGTAAACCTGTGCTAAGTGCAGCTTTACAAAGATTGGTTTTAGATACGCTATTTAATGAAATAGACCAATACTTGGATCAATATAAAAACCAGACAAAAGCAGCAAGTGATGACGAAACAACCATTGATGACAAGGATGTGGAAGCAGGTGTTGCAGTCACATTAAGAAGTTTGGCGGGATTATTAAATGAATTAATAGAAACACGTCAAGGAGCAGATGACACGTCACGTATCACGCCTGTTAAAATACGTCAACAAATTTTTGCCGTATTGGGAACAAGAGGATTTTGTAAACCGGACCATCCATTTATAAGTCATCTGATCCAAGTCGTTCTGAATTTGATGCTAAAATATCGAAAATTTAAATCAGAAGAAAAAATTTCAGATAGTGAGATTATTGCAAAAGAATTGGTTTTGCAGATTGTTCATTTATATTTCAGAATGAATGCTCAGGAGCCTGTTCCCGACTTTAGACTATTTTTCGAGAGCGGTGTTGCTATACAAACCACGTATATGGAGGGATCTTGGGATGACAGTAGCATTAACGAATTAGAGGTTGAGATTTGCTCATTCCCATTAATCTATAGTAAAAGTAAAAGTAAAGAAAATAAAAAAGTCTTATGTAAAGCTCAAGTTTTAAGCAGGAAATTATTACAACAACACCCAGGGCGGGCTGGCTAATTGGATGACGATGGTACTAGATTGGGTTGGGTTGGTTGTTTTATTTATCAATTATGTTAACCATATTCATTTATTCATTATATATTATTCATTATATTTATTTAACTTAAATTTAATCTATGTTTAATTAAATAATTAATAATAAATACAAAGTGTTTTCCCGAAAATAATAAATAATAATAAACAGTTTTTTTATGTTTTTTTTTGATTATTATGTTTATAAATTAAATAAATAAAATACAGAATAAATATAAAATGAAATAAAAATAAAATAAAGTATCGTATTATAATATTTACATGAATTTCTCATACAATTAACTATATGGATTGTAGGGCGGGTGATTTTGTGGATTTGACGGTGGTGGAGTTGGTGAGGATGGATACCCGTAATAGAATGCAGCGGGGCTATTTTGCATAGTTAGACTTTGGTCAATGATTAAGCCATCACCGGTCATAAGAAGTTGTGGTGGTGGTGTTGGTGTTGGTGTGATAATTTGTGGCTGTAGTTGTAATTGTTGAAGCAATTGTGCCTGTTGATCAAGCTCTTGTTGAATTTGCTGTTGAATCTGGTGTTGATGAAGTTGTTGTTGAATCTGTTGTTGTTGTTGATGAAGTTGTTGTTGATGAAGTTGTTGTTTTTGGAGTTGTTCGAGTTTTCGAAGTTGTTGTTGTTGTTTATGAATTTGATGTTGTAATTGTTGTTGTTGTTGTTGTTGAAGTTCTTGTTGTTGTTGATGAAGTTGTAGCTGTTGGATTTTATTTTTATTTTGAGATCTTTTTGGTGGAGGTGGAGGCGGAACCGGATTTATATTATTTGGTGAATCATCATCACCATCATTGCTATTATTTATTGATAAAGAATTGGTCGAAGATGTTTCTGAATGTGATGAATACATCTCGTTATTCGTAGTGGTGACACCTTCTACTGACTTACGACGAGATTTTTCTAATTTTTCCAAATAATTAGAATCCCTCAATTCTTTTCTAACATTCATCAAGATTATTCCAAGCATATTACTACCAGTACCATCACCACCGTCACCCCAGAATCTATCAAGCTCTGTATGTTCTACCAATATTTTATCACCAGTTTCCAATAATCGTTTGGCCAATATCGGATGTTGTTCAAATTTTTTCTTGACAACCCATTCCATTACGTTTACATTTATTTCATGCCAATTTGGATCCGTGAATTGTTGATATCTTCTCGCCATATTAAAAGCATCTCTGGGTTTATAGCATTTTCTGATCAGGTCACAAATTTCTCTTCTGGTGTTTTGAAACTTGGCAGCCTGAAATAAGTGTTCACTTGTTGGCCAACTTTTAACTTCGGGTGCACTGCCTGGACGTGGTACAAGTGCTGCTTTTATAGGAAAATTTTCTTTGAAATTTGTAAATTCATAGTAGGGTTCATCTCGATTGTAAAACCATATTGTATTATAAGGCGGTTTAATAATATTTGGATTAGTATCATTTGGATTAGCATCATTTAGATTAGCATCATTTAGATTAAGATTAACACATCGATTAAAATTTTGGTTAGCATTATTTAAATGATCAAAACTAGCTTGTAGTGACTTATTTTTTTTTTGTAGATCCTGATAGGCTATTTCTAGATATATATATATATATATATATAGTAAATGATTATTAGTATTCGTCATGAAGTATTGTCATCATGTTATTTATATATTTACCATTCTCTATTAATATTTGGTCATTAACTATCTTGGCATGTCTCTGTTGTTGTTGTTGTTGTTGTAGTAGTGTTTGGGCATCAAGTTGTTGTTGTTTGGAGTCGACCTCATTGGTCGGATTAATTGCTTCTTCTTTGACGACATCATCGTCAGCGTTTTGTTGTTTCAACTCAGTTCCGATGTCTTGTGTGGCTACTTTTTAAAAAGTCGTTTATTTAAAGTTTAATATAATATATATGTCGTGATGTTATATTAGAATAATATTTATATATAAACATACTTTGTGTATTACTATCTCCAACAGCTATTGAATTCTGTTTTGAATCTGGTTGTTGAGAAATTGTGGGGCTGCTGTTATTGGATTCACTATTACTTTGTGGTTCTTGTAAAGCTACCTCTTGTCCTTTTTCGTTTTCTTTAACTTTTGACGCATCTAAGTCGGCCATTATTACTCATTAATTATTAATAATATTATTAAATTAATTATAATAATAATATTATTATATATATAATAAAATAATTTAATTTGATAAGAAAATTAATTTTTTTTTTTATTTACAAAGAAATTTCTATAATTATAACAATATGCAAATCCAGGTCTTTATGTGTGACAAAGAGAAGTACAATGTCTGGTTTGAAGATTTTATCATTCATTCATACAAAAGAAGAAAAAAAGTTTTAGCCATGGAAGATATGATGTGCAAAAATAAAAGGAGTATTATGTTCGATACTAAAACAATTAGACATCCTAGTTGAGTCTGCTCTTGAGAGTTGAGGAATTATATGTGCTTTAGAGAACTATAAGCATGGCAGCAGTAGTGATATACAGTCAAAGCTCGTTACAGTGAACCTTTTTGTTTGCACCAATTTATTTTTTTTTATGATACTTTTATAATTAACCGTCGCTCGTTACAAAATTTTTCATAAGGATCACTGTAACGAGCTTTGACTGTATGAAGAATTAAAAAGATTAACACCACCTATGAAATATGTTATATTATTCAGGGATTTCAAATTTGCCACAATTGGCGCAATCCGGGACACTAGGATCATTAACTTTACTTTTGGCATAGTAATGTCTCGTATGGTATAGGTAGTTTTTTTCTGGAGGTTTGTTTTGCCGTGGAATTATTTCCTTTTATTTCCTTTATATTATGTCAAGATCAGCATATTGCTTTGTGGAAATATCAAATGTATCCATTATGACCCCACAACAATTTTCCTCCTTTACTTTTTCCATCTTTTGCTCTTTCCAAAATCCCTTGTATATACCATTAAAAACTTTACCTTCAGAGAAAAATGATTCTCAAAACAGAAATTGATCGTCTCGATACTTCAGGTGAAAGAATATATTTACACCAATACTTCATTGTAAATAAAGAACAACAAGAAGATCCAGAGATGTTATGCACCATATTAATATTAATAGAAACAAGGGGCCGAAACAAAATCTGTTGAAACGAGAGTTCGACTGTAACCTGCAATATTTCTTTGTGTTTGATGTTTTTTTCTTTTCTTACAAAATTTTTGGGATTTTTTAGATTGTCAATCATGTCAGGCCAATGTCGCAGTATTAAATTATCACACGCACATTTCTTGTTTCTTTAACAGATGTATGTTGTAAAGTAGTTTTATTTATTACATATGTATATTTTTTAGGTGCAGGGTTTTTATAATTGTACAATTCTTTTTTACTATATAATCCTTGCACAAAATTTATGAATCATGTACATAAAGAAGTAAAATCTCAGTCATTATGTAGACATCGAGTTCGTTTTATGGTTGTTTGGAGTGATCTAAAATTCCACAGGAAGAATAGAAACAAAGTATCTAATCATAATATTGAAAACTTACACAACATTAAATAAATATAACCGTTACACAAAAATTTAAAAAAAATGAATTCATTCGTTTTGGGTTTAATTGTGCAACGTAGCTTTACAATACAGGCAATAAAAAGTAAACAATAAACTGGATTTGAATTGGATATGAACTTGGTCTCCGATTTAGAGAGTAACAACTATATACTGGCGAAGTTTCAGAAGCAATGAGTTCTGTATAACATTTAGTGTAACAACAAACTTCCACGGATCATTGGGACCAGGAAATTTGTCCGTTATTATAAAGTGATTTTCAAGATACAATCCGTTATACGTAATAAAAAGTTTAATTAATAATATCCATTATAGAAAGATATTTCAAATAGTAAAAAATTGGGACCAAACTTTTAATTCGTTATTATTATAGAGAAAAATCCGTTATAGAAAGATCCGTTATAGACAGTGTAGACTGTATGCTCTTTTAGGTTCCAATGATTTAAATAGCGGTTTTAGAGGACCTTCGAATAAAAGAAAAAAATGAGGCAACGCAGCACATAATCTTGTGCGGAAAAAATATAAATATATTCTAGAAAGAATTGGAAAAATATCACGGATTTTTTCGAATAAAATAATCGACTAATACTAAACACATAGTAACCGTGATTTTTTTTCGCGCATAGTGCGTATAGTGCGCATGGTAGCATAGTGTATATATATCATAGGGAATATCATAAATGCGCATATAATAATAAGAAAATAAATGGCATATTTAATTTTTTTTTAGAAATGTTTATTAATAAGTAAATATAAAAAATATATCTAAAACCTTATGCGTAGCACACTATGCGCGGCACATCTCTAGACTTGCTCAACCAATTACCCCTATCATTAAAATATGAGGCATGGACTCGTCTCACAACTCGAAAGAGTAATCCATTGAATGAAGTCGAAGCCAGTAAAAATCAATTACATCGTCGAATCATTTTGAAGCAAGAGATTGACAGATATCAAAGAAAAATTAGCGTGTCAGCATTGAAGTTCATCACATTCGAATTTTATTGCATGTATATATATATCATGGACAATGAAACTCAAACACGAAATACTGATTCTCTTTCTTGTATCTGCTGAGATCATTCGTCGAGTGATATGAAGAATGCATCAAAAATAATGAGATGGGATTTGCATGAATTTGCATGGGAGTTGGTTACATACACAAATCCCATGTAATTGTGTATGGTATATGTATAATACCAGTACTAGATTTCCAACGTCATGGTTTAAAAAAGAAAAGAAAGCTATAGTCAACTTGTGGCAAAATTTAAGGTAAATTCTTTGAGTGTCATATGTGCTGAAATTTTTTGTTGAAGATTTGGAAACGTGAAGATCTTACTAAACCCATGCAACTATGGTAGGAATCAGAATGTTGCTCGTTTTATGGCCGGCATATCTATTGTGGATGGTATGAGAGACTCCTAGTAGTTTCTAAACTCGCACAACTAAAATGGGAATCTGAATGTTGTTCGCTGTAGTTTCTTTGAGTTGGAGTTTTTTATTTGCTTGCTTATACTGACTGTGATTTTTCTATTACAGATGACCTCTACATTTTCTGTTGTTATGCATAACACCACAAAAGTTCTTTAAACCGCAACAGAAAATGCTCACGGTAGATTGGTAAGAGATCAAAAAGAATTTAGGGAAAATAATAGTTGCCTGCTTGATTTTCTAAATTCGATTGTAGATGATGATATTATCAAAAAGGTAAAAATATAAAATCACAAATCACAAATAATGTTTAGCCTGGAATATCTTTTCCTATGCATAGACTAATCACTAAAATGTGGTTATGATTTTGAAGCAATCGAAGTAGAGGATGAATCATGTGATGTCATTGTCATAATTAAAAATCCTACTTGAGTATTGTATGTACCTAAGGAACCGAAGCGAACCACTTCCACATTTGTACATAACATTTGTTCTTATTCCATTTAATTTTCTAGACGAAATTGAACATGTATAAAAAAATGATGACTTTGGTGAATTTCATCCTAATAAAGTCGATTTAACGGATTTACTAATTAAATCTCGGTATAATAATAATAATAATAATAATTTCCTAATTATCTGCTAAATCGGAACTCACTGTGTATAATGACTTTTTCTATTAAAGAGTCCTTGGATAATAATCAATTTGCACCCTGTCAGGCCAAAAGCACCTAGAAGTATCAACCTTTAAACCTTTAAAGGATTCATATTGTTGATACTGTAGTTTATATAATCAATCGGATATTTCTTATGCTAAGCGACGGATGGTTTGTATCGATCGTGAATTTTAATTAAGTTATATTATGTTTGTTGGTTTTCTATTTATTTTAACAAGAAATTGACTGATTATTATGTGATGTTTTTTTTCAAAATAATTATTAGCATTCAAACTGGTGCGATATTAAATGCTTTATAATAAAATATAAACTAAATTGGTAATTTTATCTGTGAAAAAAGAATCAATAAAATCAAATAGTAAAAAATTTTGCATCACTAGATATTTTACTATATCTTCACTACTCCATTATAAATGGTAGTTATTGCATGCATTGTCATGCAATAACTAGTTTATTATTATTGTATGTATGCCAATGAAGTTACGTTTATTGTTTTTTTTTTTTTAATAAATTGACTTCTTTATGATCTTAAATATTAAAATGACAGAATCCTTTGTACCCATCGTTAGAACAAATAAAAGAAACTTAATCTTCGGGGCATTCCGGAAACCACAAAAAAAAAATACTAATACTAATACTACTTTCTGGGTGAACGTTTTACATAAATACAGATCAAATCATGAATTTACAACTCCAATAGAAGAAATTCAAAACAAAGATCAACTTGAAAAAGAACTTTGCCAGTTTGTATATTAATAATAATAAACTTTTTGATAATTCCAATCCAAATTGTAGCAAAAGGATGGGAGTAAGTATTTTATTATTATTATTATTATTATTATTATTATTATTATTATTATTATTATTATCATCAATGCATTATACCACAAACACATAAGGTGGCAAAATGCTCACACTGTTCCATATTTTGTAACGTTATTATTAAAATTATAAGATTGATGAACACCCAAATTATTCTACTAATAATTATGATAACATAAAACAAACGTAAATAATTATTATTATTATTATTTGCTTTATCTATTAATTACTAAACTAAAAATTTACTGTTATTATTACTATTAAAAAAAATTTTTTCACATGTATGCCATAACTTCCATACTCTGAGTTTAAAAATGAATCCAATAATTGAAATTTCAGAATGCCAATTTTCATCGGCAGACATACAATAAATATCAATGTTTTTGTTTCTTTAGGTCATACTGATTTTAATAATTTTAACGATCGAGCTTCTTAAAAATCTTATAACTTTGAAGCAAAAATTTAACGATGATGGTAATGATAATTAATGCATCATCTTTGTTTAATTTTAGAAGCACAAAATAATAATAAGTACCATAAAGGCAATGTTTTTAATTCTAATTGTAATTGTTTCACTTTGTATTCACATAAACCTAATTGATGTTTTTTTTTTTAAAAAATGAAATGAAAATAATAATAATAAATAAAATTGTATTGGATAATTTTTCAATCACATTTATTTCACAGGAAAAAAATAAAAAGGAAAGATGGATTCCTAAATCATTTTTTTGTAAAATGAAATAAACAAATAAATAAATTCAGCCATCATCCTACATAAAAATCTATTTTCCGGTTTTTTCATAAAAAAAATTTTTCCAATTTTCTCGATTTTTTTAATTCTTCATAAAAAAAATGATTCTTTGTGCATTTTGTGGCAAGAAGGAAGTTTATATTGATCCCAATACACGTAATGCTAGTAATTTTTGTGGGACCTCCTGTAGAACTCTAGCTGCACATAGTGGTAAACTATTTACATTAAATTCATTAAAGATCTTTTTATTTTGAAGGAAGAGCTTTTCCATCAAAAAAGTTTAGCAATACTTTTGTTACTAATGTCACAACCATTAAATTGATATAGGTCGGTTTCCACTATGTAATCAGTGCAAAATAAATCCAGCTATTAAACTAAACAATGTACTGCAGAAATATTGTAGTAATAAGTGTAAGTTTAAACAACAAGAACATTCAAAATTATTACAACAGCAACAGCAACAGCAACAGCAAGAGCTAGAGCGACGGCGACTGCAACAGCAACAGCAACAATATATACTGCAACAGCAACAGCAACAGCAACAGCAACAATATATACTGCAACAGCAACAACAACAATATATACTACAACAGCAACAGCAACAGCAATACATACAGGAACAGCAACGGCAACAATTTCTACAAAAACAGCGGCAGCAACAGATACAGCAACAGCTAGAGCAGCAATACATACAGAGACAACTACTGCTACCGATACAGCAACAGCAACAGCAACAGCAACAGCAACCATATCCCCATATACAATCAATGTGTCATCAATGTAATCGAAAAGAACGTTGGTACGATCCAGCAAATCGTAGATTTTCTCTTTATTGTACTAAGAGTTGCAAAGAAAGGGCCCAAGGTTAGTTTTTTTAATGATATTATTATTGAATTGAATATTATTATTCACGAGTTTCAATTTTATCTATTCTAATTTTTCTTACACAGGAGGATTGAGCCCACCAATGTCACCAATATCACCAATATCAATATCACCAAATTCACCAATTTCACCAATTTCACCAAATTCATCTCCTTACCAGTTTTTTCAGTTACCACACGAAAATATATTAAAATTGCAACAACAAGAAATAGAAAAATTGAAACGGCAACTCGATGAGCGACAGAAAAACCCACAGCCAAAACAAGTAAAGAAAAAGAAACCAAAACAGCCGAAAGTAAATAATAATAATAATAATGATGATAATAATCAGTTAGGAAAGAGGCAATCAAAATTCATACGACTAAAAGATGAGGAACCAGATTTTTTTATTATGGGTGCTGAAAAACCTCCTTCTACTATCACTCCTGCTGCTTCTTTAAATGATGGCCATAATTATGATAATTATCATGGTGATGATAATGATGATGATGATGATGATGATGATGATAATGATAATGATATTAATGATGATGATGTTAATGATGACGATGATGCTAATGTTGATAATATTAATGATGACGATGATGTTAATAATTATCATGGTTATGATAATGATAATGATGGTGATGATAATGGTGATGATAGTGATGATGATGATAACGACGCTAACATTAATAATAATTATTATAAAAATAGTAATAAAAATAAAGATCCAACTGATAACAACGATTTTAATACTTTGCCATCTTTTTCATCATCATCATCATCATCATCATCATCATCATCGCAATATCATATGCCATCGTTTTCATCATTATCAAGATCACAGACATTACCAACTTCTCGCAACCGATATCATTTATCACAGACACGTAACTCTGAATATTTTGTAAGTAATAGTAAACCATACTCAAATTTACAATTATCGAGTTCACAATCATTAACATCAAATTCACGATCATCGAATTCACAATCATCGAATTCACAATCATCAATAGCAACATCAAATTCGCAATCATCAATAGCAACATCAAATCCACAATCATCAATAGCAACATCAAATCCAAAATCATCAATAGCAACATCAAATTCGCAATCATCAACATCAACATTAAATTCACAATCATCGAATTCACAATCATCAACATCAAATTCACAATCATCATCATCAAATTCACAATCATCATCATCAAATTCACAATCATCATCATCAAATTCACAATCATCATCATCAAATTCACAATTATCAACATCGGATTCACAATCATCATCATCAAATTCACAATTATCAACATCGGATTCACAATCATCATCATCATTGCAACAAAATCATCCAAATAAACGACAACAACTTGAACCAACTAGTCCGGCTATAGTAGCCCAACCAAACCCAAACTCACAAAATCCACAAATAAGTTCAAGCAGATCTCCTCAAAGAAACCCAAATCCTCAAAATACTCAAATCAGATTAAGCAAGTCGCCTCAACCAAATCATAGTTCACAACCAAGACCAAATAGTCAATCTCAACCAAAACCAAATAGACCACATAATCTACAACCAAATCAACCAACTCCATCATCTCCAACCACCTCTCCTTCATTAACTCCACCTATAACAACTCCTCCTTCATTAAACCCATCTACAACAATTCCTTCTTCATTGACCCCATCTATAACAATTCCTTCTTCATTAACCCCGTCTATAACAACTTCCCCTTCATTAACCCCATTGTCTCTACAACTACAAAGAGTTTCAATTGATGAGTCTCAAGCATACGAAGAAGAACCACCTCCACCCTACGAACCTAATCCTAAGTTTGAATTTACTGGTCCTGATATTAAAGTGACTCGTAATGAATCGTATGATGATGGAATTGATCCTTATGTAGCTAGAAAACTAGCTCGTGAAAATCAAAATTAAAAATTAAAGAAATAAAGAAAAAAAGGAAGATGACGTGACGGTGTTTATTATATATTTTTGTATTATTATCATAAATATATGTATAAATAATTTTTAGTATATTTTATTTATTTATTAATCAATTAGGTTATTTATTTAACTTAATTTTTAATTTTATTTATTTCATTAAATTTATTTAAATAATAATAAATATGAAAAGAAGATGTAAATTAATTATATTGTAATTTTATTAAATTAATTAAAAAAAAAAAGCTCTATATAATTGAAAATTGTTTTTATTATTTATAATTATTTTTATAATAATTATAATAATTATTGCATGATTCATATTACATTGATTGATTGGTTTTTTTTATAATTAAATTTTTAGCAGTTGTAGTGTATGATATTTCTCTCGTTATGAAATAATATATATTATATAAATTAAAAATAATAATCAATTAATTAGTTAATATAAATTAAATTTTCTAAATTTAACGATCAAAAAAAAAAGAAAAAAGAGACAATGTGTATATGTGAAAGAGAAGAAATTATTCCTTTAAAAATTCTGACCCTCCCCCCAAAAAAATACAAATATTGTAATAATAACAGTAATAATAATAATCATTATTGCTATTATCATTATCTATTACTACAAAATGCTATCCATTTTTGTGAAAACGTTTAATACAGCAGCCACGACTTCAATTTGTAAATCTTTACCTTCCGGAATATCTAATTTGATTTTTTTTGCAAATGGCCAAACTGAATATTCACTTAACATTTCATCAACTTTAACATAAGCTTTTTCTCTCATTTCCTGATTCAATTGAACTAATGCATTTTCTAGTACGTTGGCTGCGTATGAAGCACATACCATAGATATAGTACGCAGTAAACTAAATGGTATATCTGGGTCTGATATTGAGGAAGTCGATGAGTGATTAAGATGTGTTAAAGTTTTAATTACTCTTTTTATAATTTCTTCTTTTGCTGTAGTATCGCTTACAGGATGTGTTGCCATATCAAATAGTAAAAAGTTGCGTTTCTCAGTTCTTAAAATTCCTTTGTCTACCAATCCTTTTGCTAATCGTTCCCTTACTTGTTTTAATTGATAACCAATTTTCATCACATTCCAAGTTTCTCCTATTAATTAGAAGCGTGAGAGGAAGGAGGAATTAGAATTTAATAAAATTTCTTTATTTATTTTTTTCCTCCAACATACACAAAAAGAGGTCAAAAAAAAAAACTCACCGCTCATTAAATCAATCCAACTTCCCACACTCATTATTTCACTAGATTTCATCATTTTTAATGCCTCATCCAACAACACTTCCCCTGTTAATTTTTCATCTACAACTTCAATATACCTATCTGAAAGAGGAAATTTACGACGAGCAGGATCTTTTATCATTGCTATTCTACCTCGAAAAGCAAGTTCCATAAGAATACAACCTCTAAGAGTATAAGATATATTATCATTCCAAAACGAAAGATAGCCCTGATTAAATATATATATATATATATAAATTTTTTTATCAATTATGTTTTCAATTGCATGTATTCGATTATGCAGTGAAAAGAAGATTATAAAATATTCCCCTTTAATAAATCAAGTTTACTGAAAAAAATATAATTAAAAAACCTGTTTATCTTTTAAACCTAATAATAACACTTCTTCCATAAGTGTTAATTTTGGTTGTTTTTTATCTAATTCATCTGGCATATCATTTGGATCTACGGCTACTCTAACGCCACTTTCATTTGAAAGTGATCTTTCTAAATTTGTTGAAATATTGCCCTCAATTGATGATGAAGAATTATTAGAATTTATTCCTCCGGCAATTTTTCTCCTCTGTAAGCCACTTGCTGACATTTTTATAAATAAATGGTATGTATGGGTCCACAATAGAAAGACTATTTATGATGTATATCTCACTCAAGATTTATAAATGAAACTAATGAAACTATTTATTTATTTATTTGTTTTTTTGGTGTAAAATCTAAAAAAAAATACAATTTTTTTTTATTTTTTCTACTTTTTTTAAAAAAAAAAATTAGTGTTACACGAAACATTAAATTTGTAGTTGGAAAATAAACCAATCAAACAATGTTTGTTGTCTTGACAATATGGATAATAGTGATTTTTTAAATTTTGATGTGGAGGTTGATTCAATAGAACAACAATGGAATGCTACATATCAAAAATTAAATATAATTCAAGATGATTCAGACGTAGAAAGATTAATAAATACAACAAAGGTTTTTTAAAAATCGCGGTTTTTTTCATGTTATCATTATAATCAATTAAAGATAATCTATTTTTTCAGGCATGGTCTTTGATTACATTATGGTTAGATCCTTTCAGATTTGATAAGAATGAAGAAGGTAATAATGTACCTACATTATGTGTATATGTAAAGGCTTTGTATTTCGTTAAAATTTATCATAATTAACAAAAAGAAATTTTAATTTTATATATAGACTTTAAACAAATTCCTATAGTAATTAGAGATAGTTTGATTATTATTCAACGTACACCTTTAGCAACTCGCTTGGTTGAATGGTACATTGGTAATTGATTGTATAGAACGCGTAGATTGATTCTTTTTTACAGCTATTAATTTTAATTACAATCATATATTAATATATGAATCAATAATAATTATAGATGCTGTCTGTCAACATTTTTCAAAAAATTTTGATGATAAATTGGAAAGATGGCGAGAAGATTGGTTGGCATGTGATTTTATGAAATATTATTATATTTAAATAATTAATGATTAAAGACTTTTATAATGATATATATATATATATATAAATATATATTTATCATTGATCGATTGATTTAGTTTCTTTTAGAGCCTATTATTAGTGATGATGAATCAAACATTAATGATAAATTAGAAAATAAATTCTGTGAAGATTATTCAACGATAATCGGTGATATTTATATTCATTTTAAGAAATTTGAAGGTTTACTTTTAGAAATTTTTACTAGGTTTGATTTTGTTTGTTTTAAAATGACATGGTGTTTTTTCTTTCATCAATAATAATATTGATAATAAAAAAAAATTTTTTTTGACAGCTCTGACACATTACAAAAATTTTATATTCAATATCATACACATTTATATTATTCATTGAGTGATAAGTTTCAGTCTATTTCAATTGTACCATCATTATTTAAAAATTTAACAAAAATTTTTATTGAAATATGTTTTCGGAAATTTGATCAATTAATAAGTCTTGGGTTCACAAATATCAAGTCAATATATTCACTTTCATCAAAATTACCCAAAGCTTTACCTGGTAATAATGAACTTTTTGTTTGGAAAAGTAAGGATGACTTAAGTGTTATATCTGAAAAACAAGAATTGGATGTTTGTAATAATAATGATGATGATAACAATGGTGATCGGAATAAGTGTGATGGTGATGAGGATGATGATGATGAGGATAATGATGTTGATAAAATGGAAATTGTTGATGATGATAAAGATAATTATGATTCTCATGATAATGCGAAAGAAGAAGATGGATTAAATCAAAAGTATGCTGGAATTGGTGTTGACGACAACGATGAGAATAATGATCCAAATTCATTTAAGAATGAATTAATTAGTCAAATTGTTACATTTTCAAGTTTATGCAATAAAATGCATTCTTTGGGTTTAATACAACGTACAAAAGATGTTTTGGAGAATACATTGTGTGAACAGATTGAATCAAGGGTAGTAAATACTTGCAGAAACACATTTGATAAATCAATGCTTCGACGTACAACAAAATGGTTATATTCTGTTCTTTATCCTTGGTTACAGATTGTTATAACTCCTAATTTTTTAGATTTCAATGTTTCAATAAAAGGTAATAAGAAAGATACGAATTTATTTATTATAGAAACAAAAACATACGATTTTTTTTAATTATCTTACATAATTAAGATGATATCAACGTTTGGGTTAAAAGACTTAATTATCACTTTTGCATGATTTTTTGCAATTCAAGGTATTTTTATTTATTTATTAAAGGATTTTTTTTTTATATGCATAACAAATGGATAATATTAACAACAACGATAATATTGGTAGAATATCAGAATTATTCGATGTAATTGTTGATTTTCCTGAATCTAAAACTGCCATTAGTGATTTAGTTGTGCGTTAAATATATTCAATTTTTTTTTATTTTGTTTTAATTTTTTTTTTTTTAAGTAATATTTAAAAATAATATATTATGTGTAATATTATAGATATGCATGAAGAGATTAGATACAGATTATAAACATCGACTTGTTCAATCGCTACAAAATGCGTAAGTTTTATTTATAAACCCGATACTCTGTCATATTATTATTTATATTTTTTGTTGCATATTATAAAAATATAACATTTTATCTATTTATATATATAGATTTCGAAAAAGGTTACTTATTCCAGGTGCCAGTACAATGGATATAATAAATACGTATATGTCAACTGTTAAATGTTTAAGATTATTGGACCCTTCTGGTGTTTTATTAGAAAAAATCACTATTCCAATACGAAATTATTTACGGTAGAAGGCAATAAATAAATTATCATATTATTTAATTTAAAATCAAATCAAATCATTTAATAATTACAATCTAATAATTATATTAATAATGATAATAATTAATCAAAGGAAACAACGTGATGATGCAGCTCGTTGTTTAGTAAATAGTTGGATGGATGATAAAAATCCTAATTTTGAGCTGATTGATGAATTGGGACGTACTGAAATTCCCATAGAAAATCAAAATGATGATGAATACAATTTAGATGATGATGATAATTGGATACCGGATCCTGTGGATGCTGGACCTGGTTTGTCAAATTATATACAATCTGTATGGCTGATATTGATGGATTTTTTTACTCATCATTATTATTATTCATGCAACTTATATTTATTCTAAAATAGAATACAAATCATCAATATATCGATTAGCTGATATGACGAATTTACTTATTAGTTTATTCGATAATACAGAATTACTCACCGAAGAAATTCAAAGACAAATGGCAGAATGTCTATTATTAAAAACTGATTTCAATACTACAAAGGAGGTATTTAAATTAACAATATTTAATTAATAGATAACTATTTCCAACAACTAAAGTAATAAGCATTTATGATATATATATATATATATACGCATCATTATCATAATCATCATTTTCAAAAAGCTAGCTAAACTCGAATTGTTTAAACTTCGATTTGGCGAATCTAAAATGTCAACTGTTGAAGTAATGGTTAAAGATATTTCAGATTCAAAAAGAATAAATGGAAATATTTATAATGAAAGATTAATTCGTAAAAATGCAGCCGAGTCACCAGATCTTGAAATAATTTTAAATAATGAAAATGTAAATATACCTGTGTTTATTTATATTTATGAACGAAGCTCATCATTAATTTAATTTACTATAGGAAATTTTATATACTTCCATTCTTTCAAGATTATTTTGGCCAACTATTAATAATGAAGAATTTGAAGTTCCGCCTCCAATATCTGAGTATGTTATAATTTTTATATTCCTAAATAGTATTTATATATTTATTTTCATAACCTGTAATAAATTTATTTACTTTAGTGAAATGAAAAGTTATAATAATGCCTTTCAAATTTTAAAACCAAGAAGAAAACTTAATTGGTTACCTTCACTCGGCAAAGTTCAATTGGAATTGGAATTTCAAGGGAAAACACTTGAAATGGAAGTAGAACCGGTTCATGCAACAATTATTTACCATTTTCAAGAAAAAGGTATATTCAAGTATATTATTTAAATGCTATATATATATATATATTAATATATTCTATTATTTATTTAATTAGATACATGGAAATTGGATGATTTGGCAAAACAGATGAAATATGATCCACAAAAACTTAAATATAAAATGGAATTTTGGACAGATCGTGGTATATTAGGAAAGAAATCTAAAGACGAATGGGTTCTTTTAGAGATGGAAACAAAGGCATCATCAACAAATATCTAGAAAAAAAATTTTACAATTTTTTATCTATAATAAATAAAAGCCTTTTATTTTATAATATGTTTTTGTGTATGGTGTTTTTATTTGTTTTACAATTGCATTTGAACTTGTTAATTCATCACCTTCATCTTCTTGATCATGGACAAAGACCAAACCAAAGACATGAGGATTAAATTTCAATTTTTTTTGATTGATTTAATTGATTATTAATGAATGTATCATGTTATTTTAAACAATCCATTCGTTCAAGCAACATATATACAATAATATATATTTAAAACCCCTTTTTCCAAGTAAAAAGAAACAAATCTTGTTTTTTTAAACAACTTTATTTTCTTTCAATATTTGGCCAAAAATTTTTTCATGTGCCCATCACTACTACTACACTACGTAAGAAATCAACGAAATCCAATTCAATGTCTTTTGGTAATAACTTTATCTATAAAAGGAATTTGCAGTTTCACGAAGTTTGTTGCGTTGTGATATATACTCTATGAATACTCTATGAATGATCATGACGAGAAGGGACGAGAGAAGTCAACATGGCATATTGATGCTGATGTTGATGTTGAGGAGAATGTTGAAAATCAACTTTTGTTAAACTTGATTTTTAGGAAGGAATTTTCCATTTTTGAGAGATGTTAAATTGCAAATGTTCCACTTTTTTTGTGTAAAAATTGACTTGTAGATCAATTTATTTTCTTTCCAAGGTCGTAAAACCTTTCTACTTTCGATGACCTTCCGTTTTTTCTCTTGTTAGTCTTTTAACTTGTGCTTGATTTTCTCTGCTGTATTCTTCCATATTGGAACTAATATGAGTTTAATAATAATTATTATTATAAGAAAGAATCAATATACGGTATATCTTTTTTTTGTCATGAAGACAAAAAAATGCATTATTGTCTTTATGTCTACTATACCGAGGTAAAATCGTTATATTTTAAGAACTATTACCTTTTTGACCAATGAAAGTGATATTACTTTTTTTTGATCAATTATCTTAGCAAACAATAAACCATTACTTTTTCGGTTAACAAGACTACTAATTTCTTTGATAATAAAGAATTATTACTTTTCCGATTAATTAATGAATGAGCATCATTACTTTTTTGATCAACTTGAAAGAACTATTGCTTTTTCGATCAATTAATAAAATAAATATTATTTTTTTAATTGATAAGATATATGATCGTCTACCTACCTTTACACATCCCTCATATATATTTTCACCAATACTATTATTATATTAAGGCAAGTTTCTTTATTTTCTCAAAGAGAAATACAATACCTTAAAGTTTATTTGTGTCTTCTATTCGGTCATGGAACGTGTGGGGCTACCCTTCTTCGGATTCAAATATTCACATCCATACAATATGGGTATTTCTGTTGAAGGTCGACAAATGCAACATCGCATCATGACTGAGCTGGGATGCTTATAAATGGTATTGGTTTCTCTCATTATCTATGTTTCTGAAAGACCAAATAACGATGAAACAGATAATGGAATTCTTGTTATATTGATTGATATATCTTTCTTGTTCGCTGTGATCGACGTTACACGTCCCTTTATTTTGTCACAGGTCACAACGCTAAATACTTTTTAAAAAAATGAAAGACGTATCTATCTACTGGAAGGTTTGTAGAGGATTCACATCTGCGTCATAGTTTTATTCTAGATTCAGATGATTATTTCTATGCAAATGAAGAAATCCGTAATTATAAAAGAACATGAGCTTCTGAAAATCCCGAAAGATCATGATTGACCATTTGCAAAAAACAAAACAGATGATCTTTGACAAATAATAATGATGCAATTTAGACAACTAATGTTCCTCAAATAGAATAGATGAATTTTGCGATGCACACTATCATTAAGGGATATGAATCTGGATTACCGTCTAGAGCAATGATATAATGTCAATTTGTGGGGACTCATCTTAGATCAATGCTTTCCAGATATCGTAGATATGGAAGAAGTTCGTGAAGAGTCCTCTAGTTCGCCATCTGGATCAGGTCATACAGTTCCTGGTAGCAGACAATTAATTGGCTAAATGGAAAAGCAGATTTGATACTACGTTTTTCTTCAGATTTGAGATTTGGTCTGGACGTTTATAAGTGTTAAAAGGGAACAAAATGGATTTTTGAAAGTGGTTCTAATTACCAAAGCTATTAAAAAGACATACATTTTTACCCAACTAGCTGCTGAAGTAGATCTGTTGGAAAAAGTTCAACGTAAATTATTACCTGCTAGGTTTGTACATGGTGATAAGCAAAATATACATAATCTCTCATTGTTTTGCTATTTGGTTAGTTTGCAAGCTCTTCACCTTTTAAATGTCGTTACTAGCCCATATAGTTATATTCGTACCCTTTCACTTGGTTTTCGTCTTCTTGATGCTCAATAATATTCAATTATTATTTATCGTGATTATGTTAAATATATAATAATTAAGGCTTTTGGTTTTCTATAAATTTATGATGATGATGATGATGATGATGATGATGATGATGATGATGATGATGATAATGATGATGATGATGACAACGATAAAAACAAATATAACATATAAAAAATTTTAAATTTTAAATCTTATTATTTTGACATTAACGAATACTTAAATAAATAAATTATAAATATATTTATATTTAATTTATTTTAATTTTTCAAAAGATTTTCAATGATTGGTTTAACTTTTCCATATACAACGTCAACTCCATCAGTACAAGGAATCTAATTAATTATCAAATAAATGTATTAATAATTATTGTATTATTTGCAATCAATTATCATACTTTACATATTTATTACTTACTGAATACACTTTATTCAATGTTTTATAATGTTCAACTACAGGATAGCTTGTTTCTACAAAAGTTTTGAATCTTTTTTTAATAGAATCAATATTATCATCAACACGACCACTGGTTTCAGCACGTTTTAAAAGACGTTCAAGCATAACTTCTTCTGGGCAATCGAAAAATAGCACACAAGTAGGCACACATACCTAAAAATGATTGGTTAATTTATTGATTTATCATCATAAATATGATTTTTTTGATGAAATAATTTAAATAATGAATTTGTTCATTTATCCTTACATCTTTTTCAAATTGTAAAGCTTGGTCCATTTTTCTAGGAAATCCATCAATCAAAAATCGATCAGATTCATTCATGATGATGGCTTTTTCAAGCAAAGCTATAGTGATTTCCATACGAACTATAAGTCCTTCTTTCATACATTTATTAATCTCTTCGCCATATTGAGAACCTTCACGATCTCTTTCTTCACGTAATAAATCACCAGCTTTTTTTTTTTACAGAAAAAATCATAAGATTTTTTTTAATTAAATTTACCTTAACTCCTTCCTCTAATTAAATTATCATGCAATTAATTAACCAATTATAGATTTTTATTTACCAGATAAATGTACAAATCCAAAGTCCTCTACTAGTTTTGCACATTGGGTCCCTTTACCAGAGCCTGGTCCACCTATACTTATTATTATTATACCAAATATTATTACGAAATCTAATTCACGTAATTTTAATAGTGTTAAAAATAATATATTACCCAACACAAAAGCCAAAAATATTTTATCAGAGATTTTTGTACTTTGACTCATTTTTCTTAATATTAAATATATAAATATTAAATATTAGAATTAAAAAAAAATTTTTTTGTTGGTAGAAAGTGTTATTTTATAGCGAATGTATGGTACAAACATTTTTGTAGAGCGCACAAAAATTTACAAAAAGAAAAATTACGGATTTTTGTCTTTATGTGAAACAAAAATTTTAAAAACTATAATCCGCTGTGGCAAAGTTTGACAAAATTAATTCCTTAAGGTATACATTGAAAAGTCTTTTGACTGCAGCAACATCCACAAGTTTTACTAGTATATTCTTCATGCGGATGACCACATGTGCCAAGGATACTCGCGAGATTTATGAAACAAATGACTTTTAAATCGGTAATGTGACCAGATTTGTAATTTTAGATTGGATTTTTCTAAAACTGCCGTCGTTTTAACCATGTATTATGTTTTAAACCCTGGGTGTAAAACTACACATAGTATTTTTACTAATTTACAATAGCATTCATCCACATGATTATGGTTGGCTCGGTCTAAAGACCTCCTATTTCTGCGCCACGTGGCCAAATTTCAAAAATAGCAATTTTGTAATTTG